CTTGGAGATGTAGATCAAGTTATTATGTTGAGAGAGGGAAGAGATGGAGAGGTAACATTTCTAGGAAATGAGCTAAAATGAAGAGCAAAAAAGGACAGCAACTCTAAGATGGAAAATAAAGCTATAATAATGGTAGATAAATTTAGTGTTGAGTCAAAAACATGTACCTCCAGAACAAAGAGCAAGGCTGGGTTCACAGATTTGCATTGTAGGTACCAAGTATTTAAATGTTCACTTGTATTTCAACACCCCAATGATGGACACCTTCCAATTCTTTAAGTATATGTAACTGTGATATATAATTTATTTATTTTTATTTATTTATTTTTGTGGCTGGCTGGTATGGTAAATGTGATATTTTAAAGGATGGGCCGGCCCTGTGGCGCACTCGGTATGGACGACACCAAGCCAAGGGTTGCGATCCCCTTACCGGTCACGGAAAAAAAAAAAAAAAAAAGGATAAAGGATGGGAAAAAACTCAAGTAGAAAAAAAATTGTGGGCAGTCTTGAAGGTATTCTGAAGGTTAAACTAGCATTACTCAAACTGCAATTGTGAGTATAAATATGTCACCTATATATCTGGGTATCAAATTTGAAACAAACAATCTACTGACTGTGAGTGTCAACAAACTACCAAATTATCCACACTCCCCCTCTCACCCCCTTATCAACTTAGGTTGACACTAAGGAAACCATGTCATCTCAGGGACCATATCATGTCTTATTGAAACTATAGGAGAGCTTTGCTCTTATAAAATAATTTGCCATTTATAAACTTTTATTCTCTCTTTATAAAGTAAATGAAGTTACAAGTTGAATCCAATTAAACAAAAATGTTTGCAGGGGTGATAAAAAGTCAAATTTATACAGTGAATTTTGACTAAAACTGATTTTTAAACAGACTTACTCGATAGCAGTCTTGCATGTGTTAACACAAAGAATGATATTGGGAGGGATGTTCTAGGGTTTGTTGTCCTAATTTGAACTCTGTATTACTTTACAAATTTAAAGGAAAAAAAATCATAAAATCCATACATTAATATTACAATCGAGACTCTAAGTCACGGAACATATTAATCTTAGGAAAAAAGAGCAAGAATACTGCACTAGCTATTAAAAGTTAGGAGTAATAATCACCGGGAATAACAGAAAGCATTTCCAGCTGTTTTTAGAACAACCAATAAATCTCAATACCATAGTGATTTTTTAAATGACATAAGCAAGATTGGCTTACCACCATCCTTGTTTAAGTTTCTTTTTTTTCAACAGGAAGAAAAATAAACCAAAAAATAAAACAAACTAAAAACACTTAAGATAATTCTTTTTTACTGGTTCCTCCACTTCAAGTGGAAAACACTAACATGTAAAAAGCCTTTTCTTAAGAGGAAAATGAAAGTGATATTTTCCTAAAGCTGCGGGACTAAAATTCTCTGGTGTTAGAAGTAAAGAGAAACTTAAGACCCAACATTAGAATCAAATACTAATCCTCTTAGAGCAAGCTAACTGCTTCATAGTTCAAAGTATGAAGAGAAGCAGAGGTAACATACAAAGAAAATACAAATGCATAAGTCACAAAGAAAATGAACTCTCTCCATCATAAAAATTACCATACAGAACTCCAGTAACATCAAAATACAATTCAAAGCCATATCTGAGACTATGATTAAAAATGCAAAATATGTACTGCCTTCAAAGAAACAGCATAAAATGTTTTCTACTACTTTTAAAAGTTGGCAATTGTAGGCCTGAAGGGAAAACAAATGTGAAATTGCAAATTGAAATTTTTAGAGAAAACTAAAATGTTCTCTCAATAAATAACTTTTACTCTGAGATAGTATCTCTCATAGACAAAGCAATATTCTGAAAGATACACAAAATACTGATTCAAAACAGGCAAAAGGTGTTAGTTTACACAAAAAGAAACTTCCTAAAAGTAAAGCAAATTCACTTTGCTTCTACTTGATTCCATTTTTTGAGCGAATGTGCTTGAAAAAGCTGTATAAATTAATACCATTTTCCCTTACTACAGTTTTAACTGCTTCAATAAATCTATTTTATCAATTGTACTTTTACCTTTTTAAAAAATCTAACATGTAGCAATGTTCCTAAGAGTAACACAGCCACATCTTAAAAATGTCTTTCATCTTACTTTGATAATAGTCTCACCTTCTGTTATGAAACAGAACATTCTTTGGCTGATATAATTCTTAGGCTTAACATATATATATATATATATATATATAAATATATA